TTATATATATATATGAATATATATATATTACAAATAATTTTTCACAAATACCTCAATTACATATAATTTAAGTTTACCAACACATGGACAAAGGGAGCCACAATTGCTATAATCACATTGAACATAGGAATTAATGCTTTTCTCACACGTGTATTAGTTTGCTACTGAACCATGAGTCAGTTAGGATTATATTAGTCTCCTAACTTATATAAATATCCTTTATAATATCTTTTGCCATGAAACTTAATAACATGAGATAATAAGTTTCTTTATTATCCCTTGTTTTATATTATTACGTAGTTATCAAATGGTATAAATATTTATCCTTTTTCTTCTGCCATTAATACATCATGTTGTGCAATTCTCATGTGGTGATTTTGAATCCTCCGATGGATCCATCACAAAACATGTATTACATTCATCCTACATAAAGTTCTACCAATGATTTGGTTTACTCCTCTTTTTAATCAAAAAAAATTATCATTATTGAGTTTAATGTACCTTTAAGGTGTGGCAAGAATTACGTAAAAGATTTGCATGAGGAAATTCCATTTGCATCCCTGATCTTCAATAAGAACTATATAATTCGAAGCAAGGTTTATTTTTTTATTATTGATTTCTTTACTCAACTTAAGATCTTTTGGGAAGAATTGGATAATTATTATCTAATTCTTCAATGTCGTTGCGATGCATTGCCCAACGTCAAGAAATTTCATAAAGAATATCAAATCATGAGATTTGTGAATAGTCTCAATGAGGGTTTTAGTCTTGTTTACTCTCAAATTATGATGATGAAACCACTACCTTATCTTAATCATATCTTTTCAACAATTGTTCAATTTGAATCTCAAAATGGTCTAGCATCTGATATTACTGGAGATCTCTCAATCTCCATCAATATTGTTAATGCTAAGAAGTCGTATGGTAGGAATAGATGAATTTTTACAATTTTAATAAACCTCCCAAATGTACTTTTTATGGTAGAATTGGTCGTTTTATTGACAAATGTTACCAGAAGCATGACATTCCTCCTCATTTCAACAAAAGACCCATTTCTACAAACAACACAATGACTGATAACACTACTTTGACCAATGATAATGTTTCTATTGACAAACCCAAGGAATAACTTTTCACAAACACCTTAATTGCATACAACTTTAGCTTAAAGGGAGCCACAATTGTTATAATTTCACTGAACAAAATAATTAATGTCATAACTCAAAATCAAGAACAAAACTATCAAGAAAACATTAGGGAGTGCTTCTATGGGATTCTGGAGAGTACTATATTTAACAAGGATTAAAACATACCACAATATTACTTTCATTCAAGCTTTAACAATGAGAAAACTATAAATTGCAACAAATTGACATTCAAGTTCATCTAAACCAAATTAAACTATATTTGTTTCTTATTCACAAACAGAATCACACATATAATAACAAAACGAATTACTAAACCACACTGAATCAAAGTTTTTTTTTTCATCTATTGAATGAAAGTTTTAATATTCAAGAATATTGTACGATGTAAAGGTTAAAAATGAGAATAGGTAAATATAAGATAATTTACTCAAATCTTTATTGACCAGCATAATACTAATCTCTACCAAATAATTATATTTATGATAGTTATTGATATTCATATTCTTCAACTGATTATTCACAACATGATGGCAATGAGAATTTGATATTGAGAATTGAAACATTATTAATGACTAATCAATTTAAATCGAATTTTCTAATACTGAGTAATTCATTATTAATCTCCTATCTACCAATCTAAGAAGCTAATATTCTTTAATTTGTAAATCAATATATACAACAAAATTATTATAAAAACAAAAGATAATTCATGTCATAATGATATATAATATTAATACTAAATGAAAACATTAAATTTTTAATAAATCTCTTTTTGTAATCTAAATAGGATTATCGGAAATTCTATGCCGGAACAAGAATATATTTCGTACCACTGATAACAAAGGAGAAATTAATATCAGAAATTAAAGGTGGACGATCGTAATCGAATATGCTCGTCATACAAACCTTTGATTTATCTAATTTTCGCATCAAAATACACCATACCATAAGGATTGAAAGATAGAAAGTCAAAGAAGCATTTAATCTGCCAACCCTTTCATTTGAAAACCAGTAAAGTTCACGAGGATAACAACCCCCACCCCTCCTACTTTACATGATAACAAAATGGTCCATGATACATACAAGTTTATCTTATCTACCACCCCCACCCCACTTTTAACTTTTGCCAGAGATACCTACATTTTCCATCATCATAGTACTCACTATGCCAACTTCGAAATTGGAACCTAATAATAATAATACCATCATTACTAGTTTAATTATTACATAATCAATCCCCTCTCCCAATAACAGTTTCCCGTGTACTAACAGCGCCACGCTGACGTGGCAACCATGGCGCGATCGTGCCAGAACAAAACCAGTTCGTTCTGACGTTTCGCCACGTGGAAGCCTCTGATTTGCGACTTCGCCAACAAGCACTCCGCTTGAAAATCCGCGAACTGGCTTAACTGCACCGGCCTCATTCCGGCACCGTAAAACGCCTCCCTCCACGGAGGCATCCGCCGCCACGCGCTCTCCACCGCCGCCAAAATCCTCGGCCGCACCTGCAGCATCTCTATTCTCCTCACCCACTCCCCTCCTCCCACCACCGTCGAAGCGTCCAGCGACTCCAACATCATCGAGTAGTACTCCAGGCTGCTCACAACGCCGCGCCGGAACGACGCCACCGCCGCAGTCGCCGACTCCGCCCAGCCCTCGCCGTCCACGAAAACCACCACGCCAGGCGAGATCCTCCGCACGTCCGCCAGGAACGCGGCGGTGTTGCCGAGGTGGCGGAAAATCGCCGGCGACAAGAGCACAGCGGTCTTCTCGCCGTCGACGAGCTTCACCGCCTTGAAGGAGATTGTCTCGAAGGTCCGAAGCGGCACGAATTCGACGTGGACGCGGATCCTGAGCTCGAGAGCGAACTGCGCGAGGTTGTCGCGGACGAGCGTGCTCTCGACGGCGAACTCTTCGGGAACGACGGCGGTGATTCTCAGAACCGGCGATTCCGCGGCCTTCTCCGCAATCTCCTTCATGAGAGAAGCGTACTGGATCCCGAGGCCGATGTCGAAGTCGATGACGTGCATGAAGGAGGAGGCAGCGTGATCGAGAACGATTTGGTTAGTGGTGAAGATGGAGAACATGGGGATCGGTGAGATTCCGGAGAAGGCCTTGAAGGTTCTGATACTGTGCACGATTTCCACCAACGAAGAAAGCCTCGGTGTCCGGTTCGAACCGGAGAGGAGAGACTCCAGAGCTTCTTTGAAGTAAAACGCTGCGCGCTGAAGCGGTTTTCCCGCGGGGGATCGTAGCCGTTGATTGAGCCGCTCCAATATCACTTGCGCCACGTGTAATTGCTTGGTGTCGAAGCAATCAGCGGCGCGGATGAGGTCTTCGATGAAATCAAAACCGTTGTGATTGAAGTCGTGAATTAAGTGATCGAGTGTGGCGTTTGCAGGGTAGTTATTGTAAGCGAGGTTTTGGTTTTGGGTCGAGTTAGAGTACATGTCGGAGAGAGTGGTGAATTCAAGCGCGTGGTCGAAGGGTGTGAAATCTTCGCACGTGTTGTTGTTTTCATTTGTCTTCAAAACGGGGGCACCCGAGTCGTCGTGTAAGCCCAGGTCCTTCATGATGGAGTCCCAATCCAAGTTGTGCAACGCATGGTCGTCCAGCTCGACAACGGAGTGATCGGTGGGTTTGTCGGGGACGGTGGCCGGGCTTGGGCTCCGGCACAGGTCGAGGACGGAAGTGGGCTCGTAGCCGAGGCCCGTGTTGTTGGGAAGGGCAATGGTACGGGTTGCGTTACTGGGTTTTGGGTTGGCCTGTGGGGATGAGGGAACGGGAACTCTCATCGCTCGGTAAGGATTAAGGAAGTTGCTGTGTTGTGGCCTTGTGGTTTCTGAATGATACAAATTTGTTGAAAGTAGAGGTTGCCAAGGAGAAGGAGAAGGAGAAGGGGGCTTTTGGTGGTTATGATTGTGGCCCTTTTTATCTTTGTGTGTGCACGTAAAGGGGTGGGCTTACTTATTTATGCTCATGTCATGTATATGGGAATGCCTTCGACTTCAAATATATAGATAGCTATGCTACTGTCATACATTTGCACTATCACTATGAGTTATGTGACCTCACCATGCTTAACCCTACGTACTTAATCAATCATAGTAACCTTAACTTTTTTAGTTTCAATTATATATACTTTTATTTCATACATTAAATCTATCGGGAAATTCAAAACTTTTGGTAAAAAAAAATGTTTAAGGTTTTTAAATAAAAAATAATGAAACAACCAAATTTATTTAATTTAATTTAAAAATAACAAATTACACACAATTTTAAGTCATAAAAAGCAAAATTATAATTAATAACTCTTTTCAATTATCACTGTGACTCTGTACGTGAGGCTTCAAGGCGAAGCCACGCTACCTTGTCTTTCTCCTTTTTCTTTGCTTTTCTTGGTGAACTTGAAAGGTCTAATGACCTAATGCTCAGGTGAAAGATATGTTTAGCCATGTAGCTGTGAAAGCTTTTTGTCATGAATTGCTGTACATACACGAGATGTTTTGTGGATGAAAATTATCTATCTTTTGGAACTAAACTGTAATATGTCGTTGAGAGAAGACTCCAAAAATTAGTTACGTCCACTCACCTTTCAAAATCAACACAAATGCACGAAATTGAAGACAAGACTTGTACAAACCGAATTGGAATTTCTTTTGTGACAAAATTTAGGTGAACTAGATTAAGTATTTTAGCATTATTTTTAATTAAAATAAAATTTTGATTCAATAATCTATTTAACAAAAGTCAATATTAAACTTTGAAAATGATAATTAAAATAAAATCCTAATTCCACTTAGAATATTTTTTTAATATAGTTAAATAAAACACTTAATATTATTCAGTGCACTTTGGTAGATTTATTTTGACGTCTGTAAACATGGTATCATTTACATGTCAAAAGATGTTTCAAGCTTGAACTGTAAAACGACAAAAGAGTCAAATAGTGGGCGTTAAAGTCGTGTGTTTCTTTAAGTTGGGCCCACAAAAGTGGTAAATGGACCCCAAGACATAGCACCACCCATCTTTAATTCTTTATTTATATCGAAGAAAAAGCTTTGAGAAAGGTCCATCATGAAGTACTTTGTAAGGGAGAGCGGAAAGTTTTGCCACTGCTATGTTCCAACCTAACTACTAATATTGGCTGTTAGAAATGCTACATTTTTGTGAACAGAGTCTCCCTTCGTAGAACCGCATAATATGAATATGAATTGTCAAAATGAATCGACCATGGTAAACATTAACAGGCATCCAAACTTCAGGAATCGGCTCACTTTTGACTAACACAATATTTTGGGTAAAGTTGAGCAGTAAAAAGTGTGGGGAATTCGTATCTTGTAAAATTGTTTTCTCGTGTTCCATTGAATCATGTCAATTAGCTAGTTCGTGCCAAGGAAGGAAAGCTTACCTTTTTTAGTATTATTTAACGGTTAGATTTTGATATAACTTTTTTATAATATCAACACATTAAATTTATCATATTTATGAGCTTTTAAAATATGATTTTCATATATTTCTATGTTTCTTTACTTGTACGCTGGAGCAATTTATGTCACAACTTTACTCATTTGTCACTTGAGATTAAGTGATCACAAATGGTGATTGTGTGACCTATGTGATCTCCTCTTACTAAATAACAAATCTATTAAATTTTGAAAAATTGAATAACATAAAATTGTGATCAATATGCATATAGTTTCACATCACTATGCCAACCTCTTAATGTTAGACGACTGATTTTGTTTCTATCATAGATTGACTACAATTATTTTATCTTGCGATCTATAAAATATGATTATTATTAATGATTTTTTTAACCAAAATAACTTTTATATAAGACAATTTTGCCTACCAAGTGTGAATTAAATTCTCAATTTTGACATATTTTTTTCAAATATTAACTTGAGCAGTAAAGTCTCTACAAATGACTATTATTCAACCTCTTATACTCCTTTTTATTTGAGTTCATCATTTGTTAGTAAAAAATATATTCCTCTTGGTTGAAACCATTTAACAACATCATTATTATCGATTTGAATTTTCTCCCCACCATATCTTCACTCATTTGCATGGTATTTCACTCATTTTTCATTCATTTGTAAGTTTTTATTCACACATTTGAATGTTGTTTTTTAATTTGCATGAATTTTTTTTTCTTACTCATTTAAATATCTTTAATTTGCCACTAATTTTTCCTTCCGTTTCACATTTCTCACTGATTTGCTTGATTTCTTTCTCAACATACAATTTTTTAAAAATATTGTTTATATTTTATATTAAAAAATTATGCAAGGCAAAATAATTGCTAAACCGTGTTAGGTAGAAAATTAAGCAAGTTTGATTGAAATAATTGATCCTTGATTTCGTGACACTTTTTTCATGGTATTATTGTTTGTTTCATATTTCTGTTGAGATACTATTACTCACCTTTACTTGCCATTTTCCCTTGTTTGACATTTTAATTCCACAACCCTTTTCAGTACAAAGGTTAATCAGTTTCATCTTTTTATTTATTTTTTCATGTGGACCTTCTCTGTCAATAGTAATTTTACGTGGAGTTTCAGCGTTCGTTATGCGGCTATTATGCTCTCGTCTTATCGCATTTTTGTGCCATATGTCTTAGTTACAAATTAATAATTAATAAATACTTACACTAGTGTGTATCTTGTTGTGCATTTATGTATAATTAACTTAAATAAATTATAATATCATTTTGGTAGGAATATGGATCTTTGTATTTTTTTTATAATAATTATTGTACACTAGTATGGAATATCTTGTTTCCCAAGGCTTTTTGTCTTCATTATATTTCTTTTTAATTATTATTTTGTTGAGGAACATTTTATTACCAATTTATTATATTTTACTGGCCAATCTAAACGAAAAGAAGAGGGGAACATAGACGTACGAGTCAAGAATCCAGCAGCGTTCACACTCTCGTTGTGCTACGGATCGAGGAGAGGACAGTGAATAATTTAACTTTTTATTAACTTTAATTATATTTCCATATATTTTAATTAATATGCTTATTGCTAATTTTTATTTAATTAAAATTAACCCTAGTTGATTTATCGGTCTACTTTAATCAAACTCAATTTTGTCCAAATCATCCATTTTACGGCCCTACAATATATGTTAAACATGAGAAGAAAAGAATAATTCAACTTAATGTATTTAACTAATAATATAAGGTTTTTTTAGAAGTATAAAAAAATTGAACAATAACAAGATTACATGTTTCAAGAAAAAGGTATTATTTCTTTTTTAATTTCATACTTTAACTTTCTCCTTTATTTTAATTATTTGCATTTAATTTTTGTGTTAATTTTTTTATGCTGGATTTCGTACAATATATAACGTCATTGGGGATATAATTAATAAGATGTGACATAATATTTATTTGTATAAATAAATCATGGAAATTTTCTATAAAACAAATTAAGAAGACTAAGAAATGGCATCTGCTACATTTTATATATTTTATTTTCACTTAAATTTTTTTATATATTCTTTGTTCATTTATGCAAATTAATACTGTTATATATGTCACACTTTCGTCATACTCTCACCAATTATTATATGAAATTTATGATTGAAAAAATTTAACAAATAAGAAACTATGAATATTGAATGCGTGCAATTAAAATTAGGAGACTTGATGCATATAGTAAAAGTGTGGGATCCAAAAATTCAATTAAGACTAACAATAATTTTCCTCACTCCTAAAAACATAACTTTCATTTTAATATTTTATTGTATAAAAGTGGATTGTTAGAAATGTATGTTTATTAATGTTCGTTTATTCAATAAAGTGGATTGTTTATTAATGTTATGTCTCATATCACATCAAATAAGAAGAATGTTGGTGATAAACTTTCTAGTACTGTCTTTTCAACACATTTTTATTTAATGAAACTTATTTGGGTCCTAATAATTTTGAAACCGAACTCAAACTCACTAAATAGAAAATGACATTCACATATTTAGTGAGATTAACATTATTTTCATCAAAGATTGTAAATAAATAAAAAAACATTATTTTCATCAAATAAATGAGTCTCTGTTACTACTTACTACCAGTATTTATCTATTAGATGATTAAAAAAAGTGTAATACTTAAATTATAAGACGAACTCTTACATAGTGTCTGGTTTAAAAATATCAATAATTAAAAATAATATTATATCATATATAATATAGCTTATTTATTTAAATTTAAAATATAAATTTTATATTTAAAAATATTTATTTATTATAAATTTTAGTTACATAATAAAAATATTTACCCGATACATCTCACATGCAAAAATATTACCGCTATGTTCGAGTCACATTGGTGATTTAATTTTATGTTACCATATAATGATTTTAAAAACATTTATTCGTGGTATATTTTAAAAAGGGAAATACACTAATAAAGTTTTGATTATTCAATGGTACATCCCAAATAAAATCATTATTAAAATATAACTTTGTTTTACAGTGTATTAAAATAGAACGTTAAATGAAACGGGAAACAACACAAATTTTATCTTGCAATATAGTATATGATTTTTTTTATATTTAAAGTATTTTTCTTGTTATTTAATGTATTGATGATCACCAATGAAAATAAATGTCCTGATAAGAGAGACACATTTATAAATAAAATGAATTATCAAAGTTTAGATTTTAAATAAAAATTTAAAATATCCTCAATTTACAACAATATCGAAAAGATATAGTATAGTTATTGTTGTAGGAATATCTTCTTTTTTTTTTTAAAAAAAAAAGAAGAAGTAAAGTATGATCCGGATCCATTTGAATTTTCATTTTTTCACTGAGATGGGTGTGACGTGTCGGTGGAGCCCACAGAAGGGCTTTTAGTTTTATGTTGGATATGCATGCATTCTATTGGTGGTTTAATGAGTCAGCGCGTGCAAAGACGGCACGTGGTTGGGCAAAAAACCAAAAAGTGACCAACGAAGGAATATGTTCCAAACTATGAATG